TTTGTTTGCGTAGTCGCGAGTAATTGACGTCATATTAACCTCGCAAAGAGTAGAGACTGAGCAAGAGAGTTATCTGTAGTTTGTTTGCGTAGTCGCGAGTAATTGACGTCATATTAACCTCGCAAAGAGTAGAGACTGAGCAAGAGAGTTATCTGTAGTTTGTTTGCGTAGTCGCGAGTAATTGACGTCATATTAACCTCCCAAAGAGGAGAGACTGAGCAAGATAGTTATCTGTAGTTTACCTCAGTACTGACCCAGTGCAGGACTCTGCTGTGAAGGTGGAGACATGCAGCGGTGGTGTATTTGTGACAATTATATATTAAAAAAATAAAAATAAAATTTGAAGGAGTGGCTGCTAGGATTTAGGAAAGGCGGCCTGCCACTCCTAAATGAATGTAGAGGAAATACTGGACATGCATTTATATCACTGATTTAAATTAAAATATGTGCAAAAATGTAATTATCAACATAGCTGATTAGATTTATTTTACAAGGAAAAAAAACACTTGTTTTTACATCATAGGTTTCATTTGTCACATAAAAAATAAACTCCCATGGAAAAATAAATGTAGATAAGCATTAACATTTAATCTAAATGACAAATGCCTCAGTTTTATAAAACAAATCCAGATCACTTTACATAGTGACTTCCTAGGAGTTCACAGTACAGATGAAATAGGGCCCTCCCATATGTCATCATCATACATATGACAGGTAGACGTGATTTTATCTGTGGTGGTCGACTCATGACTGCAGGATTCTCTGCCAGTTGTCTCCTCAGCATTGTGGATGAAATCCCCCGAGGCCTGTCGAGCACTGATTGCACTTTTAACAGAAGGGTCATTAGCCAGTTCCGAGCACACTTGGCCACTCAGCGCACCTCGGTCCTGGTCCACTACAACAACTTTACTTGTTTCTAAAGCATCCAGACCGTCTGGTGACGGCCCCTCTCCACCAAGCAGCGAGGCAGACACAGTCCTGGCTTCCTCTGGCTGCTCTTCCTGATGCTCTCCAGTTGTCATAGCTGGTGTGTCTTTGTCCTCCTTGGTCTCCTGGTCCTGAGGTCTGCTCTCCAGCCCAAAGAAGTGGTTTCGGACAACAAAGCGAACACACTGCAGGAGGACGTTCCTCTCATGGCGGATGTCTAGGGCCAATAACTAAACAAATGGGGGGAGAAAAACATATAAGAAACTGCTAAAAGACATTCAGAACTTTGGGACATAGCAGCCAAGTTGTACTCTTCAGCTTTAGTTTCTTTTTGTTTTGAAATTACAATCTAACAATATGTGTGTGTAAAACTCCAGATGAGCCCATACCATCTCCAGTAAAGTGGGCCGACGTGTCTGCGGCGTATCTTGATGTCTGCCGCCTCGTCCTCTCCTTCCTCCCCTGCCTCCTCTTCCTCCTCTTCCTCCTCTTCCTCCTCTGCTGTTCGTGTGAAGGCCAGAGTTGGGCTGGAAGCCTTTGTGAGCCTCTGCACCCACTGAGGAGGTTTCCATACATCTCGAGGGTTGTCTGTCGTGGGGGTTTGGTGGTAGGCCGTTTAGGAGGGCTCTGTTTTCTTGCACCAGGTCTTTAGCTGTCTGAATGGGGATGGCTAAAACACAGTGGAACGTGTTACTCATTTATGCAAAAAAACAACACTGAATATGCACATTGTTATTTTCCACATACTCCCCTAAACTTCAACGTTTCATTATCTGGAAGTTGTCCATGTCTTTATGACTACATTACCTATTGTACAGTTTTCTAGACTTCTAAAGAAATTCTGCAATACTGGGATTTGATTTAAGGTTAAACCAAGAACTCCTGTGCAGACACAACGCATTCGTCCACTTCACTTGAAATTGACATACAATTTGATGAGTATGTCAAACAAAAAAAGCAGTCATTCAGGAAGCACAGGCAGGATTCACACCATGAATGTTGTGCTGGAGAGAGGAAACACGAATAAACTATCAACCAATGGACATTTTGCAATCTGTTCTCACATCTGCAAATGTGCCAGAGACAGACTCCACCGACAGAAGAAAGGCATACTTGGAGCAACTTTGGGTTCAGCGTCTTGCCCAAGGACACTTTGACTGTAGAGGGGATCGAACCGCCAACCTTACGATCAGAGGACGCTCTACCACCGGAGCCACAGCCGGTGACAGGTGTTCAACTCACCCTCTGGTTCCTCATCGCTCTCACTCATGGAGCCATAGTTTGCAATCAGGCAGCCAAGCGCTGAGCTCATCTGTTTCGGGGGCACCACCAGGCCTCCAGCCCTGGACTCAGCAGCCTGGTCCTCTCTGTCAGAATCTGGGAGCACATGAGGAACACAGTGCAACACAAGGCTGTTTTCATTAATGCTGTTTAAGTGTGTTTTCCTCTAAAATACAGACATTTTTCAGCAAACAGCAGTGCCGGTACAGATATGGTGACATTTCTTAAGTGATTGTTTATCGTCTTGTTTGAATCACGGTTCACACACCGTGGTCACTGCTGGCCAGCGCTCCCAGTGGATCCCCGTCCTTACAGGGCTGGCTGAGGGGTTTGGGTCTCCGTGCAGCACCGCTGTCGGACGGCTGAGGACCTTGTAGGTGTCGCTGTTGTGACCCTCTGTTTCCCCACCTGTGACCTCGACCTCGGCCTCTCATTCGTCTGAGAGTAAATATATTTCTACGTTACAGTTCAGTTTGCTTCTGGGTGCAACGACAGAGGAAATAAACAGGATGCAGTACAAAACACATGATGTCAACTGTACATTTACCCAAACTGAGCAGTTTCCAGAACGCCTCCCGTCTCCTCCCGCACCTCCAGAACTTTTTTCTTTCTCTCAACATTCTGAAGGGTTGGATAGTTTCTGCAAATACAAATGAAGGCACCAGTTGAATAATGACAATAAGAAGAAGAACTCCTTGTTGCTGATCAGACAGCAACTGCAAAATCTGTTCTTTTTTTCTGTCATGGAACCATCACACTAATAATTCTGGGATAAAATATCATGGCTGCCACAGTTTTGATCATCTGTGCAACACTTACTTGCGCCTCTCTTCTCTCCACTTTGCAATTTCCTCTGGTGTGTCCAGCTTGATTCTTTTGGTTCCTGGTGCATGGCTCTAAAGTCAGGATGTTAAACGTGGATATGTAAAAAAAAACAACAAAAAATACTTTGAGTTGAAGTTCATGACGAGGTGTTTTACTTACATTTCTCCAGTGAATGCCGACGATCTTTTCATGAGCCATGAAGCTGCAGTTGGCCACAGAACACTGAGGATGAAATGTGACAGAGAGATCAGTAAACTGTGAGCAACGGCGAAACATAAACAGCATGAAATGAAAGTAATAATACTGAATCAAATGCAGGACGACACCTTGACATGCTGAGAAACATGTTCATCGTACTTCTCCTGGTTCTTGAAGCCCCGGTCACAGGTGTCACAGAAATGGGAAAACTCTGGCTCCTTCTTGTTTTTCTGTTGGAGGTTAAATACACAGAAATCAAATAAAGAGATGTGCTCCTTCTAACTACAAATACAATGTTAAATAAAACACAAGTCATCACCCTTTTCCCCTGGAGACTGGAGGCTCCATAGTTCTGTCTTCCGATATGATTTCCACCTTGATGCCGTTCATGTCCAAATGTTTGACCTAAAGACAGCAGAGGTGTGAGTGACAGCACAGACCAACTCCACAGACCCAACAGGGTCTTCTTTGTGACAATTAAAGGAGTATTCCACTGATTTTAAACACCAAAAAACGTCCTAGCTTTTATTTCCACGTAAAAAATATCTACAAATGCTCAGGTAAAGATCAACAGCACAAACAGATCAGACAGACGTGATTCAAATTTGACTTGAGAACAAAACATCGAAAAAATACTTTAAAAAAAAGACAGACAGACGGACGGACACACAACATGTTCAGTGACAGGTTTCAGAGAAGAACATTTAGAGCTTTCCAGAGGATTATTTTTGTTGTTGTTTAGTAAACGGAGTCATTGCAGTGCACAGTTCAGTTGTAGGAAAAAACATGAACACTTAGCAAAGTTCTGTCAGTGAATAAAACACTTCAGAGGAGCTTCGTGAAGTCTGCTGAAGATGCAGTCAGCAGGTCCATCATGGCGTCTACATGTTAGCTTCATGCTATCAGTCACTTTACTCACGTTAGCCACACTGAGTTGGCCCCGGGCCCAATTAACTTAACATACCGATGTGTTACGTAACGTTAGCTGACCATCAATGTTTAGCTAATGTCTATTTAACTTGTAAAATCTATTCTGAGTTACCTTAAGCTAATAAGTCTACCTTTCCTCTGGTGAGTCGCTGCCCTGTTCTCCAGGACGACCCTCCTCTGACTGACCCGGAGCCTGGTGCTGGACGGGACGTCAAGTTCAAGGCCGCTCTTAACGAGTAATTAATGTCGCATTACCGTCCAAAGAGTAGAGACTGAGCAAGATAGTTATCTGTAGTTTACCTCAGTACTCCGAGTACCGACCCAGTGCAGGACTCTGCTGTGAAGGTGGAGACATGCGGCGGTGGTGTATTTGTGACAATAATAATAAGAATTAAAAAAGAGAAATTTGAAGGAGCCGCGGCTAGGATCTAGGATCTAGGATCTAGGACCTAGGATCTAGGATCTAGGATCTAGGAATGGCGGCCCGCCTCCTAAATGAATGCAGAGGAAACACTGCCTGAAGATGTCATCGTGGCTGTTGCCCCTCTTTCAGCAGAAAGCCTGTGTTATAAACTGTAAAGCATTTATCCATCTCATCTGGGAAACAGTGAACTTGCAGAAAGCAAAATCCTGACAGGGAAACAACAGCAGGTTACTGAAGCCTCTGCTGCTTGGATTTTTTATCATGTCTCTTTTGTCTCTTTCCATACTTTCTGCAGGTGTATCACTAAACTGATGGCGTATTCCTTTCATACATCCCACCAGGTTTTTAAATGGTTGGTTTGATTTGAAAAATCATGAGTAATAAAACCAAAAAGATGCATTTACTCCTCATGTAAGAGTTCACAGTTGGAGGACATCAGCAACGCCTGCAGCCTGAAGGCCCAACGCTTTATACCAGAGCCCTGGAAAACTATTCAAAACCGTAAACTTTCATATATATATATTCATTACACATAAAGTGAAATATTTCAAGACTTTTTATGTTTTTATCTGATGATTATGGTGAAATCTTACATCACAGATTGTTGAAATATTTCCTAAGATTTTGAATACAGAAATTTCCAACTTCTGGATTCTGTGCTGGTCCACTTGGACCTTGATTTCCAAATGAGATGCAGAATGTACTTTCATCTAGACCACTGTGCAGCAGTCCAGTGCTTTTCCTCATCAGCCCAGATCAGGAGCTCCTGATGTTGCTTTGACTTGAAGACCGACACCAGCCTCAGTCCACTCAGACAGACGGTGCTGATGATCATCTTCTGGACACTTTTAAAGTCATCCATCTGTACTTGTAGTGACTTGTACTGAACTAGATCCAGAGACGCACTGTGTTTACACAGTTATTAAGATGCTGGATTTATAATTTAATGAGCTACAAGGCTTCAACTGTTTCACTCTACATGAGAATAGAATAAATGACATTTTGACTTTCTTAAATAACTAATAGAAACCAACAGACGCATCAGTGTCATGCAGACATCAGTGATGCTTCGAAGCGATCTTAGGTTCATATTTGGAGTCAAACCAGCATCACCAGAGAAACAACTTCCTGCTCTCCTCACCGTATGGACGCTCAGTCCCACACCGGCCACGACCCCACGGGAGGCCGTACGCGGACCCTGCCGCTGCGCCGTGACACCAGCCCCGGTTGCCGCCGTGGTCCCAGATGGGCTCGGAGGGCGTCTCGCTCCAGCTCCACATGGAGGGCTGGAAGCTGCTGGAGCGGCGCTGCTCCTGCTGGATGGAGGTCGGAGGAGGACTGCCGAAGTCCGGCGGAGGGTAGTGTCCCGGTTCGTCCATCGGCTGGGCCCAAGTCTGCTTTCACGTGCAGAGTACCGATGAGCAGCGGACTCGTGCTCCTCGCTGCTGCGCGTGTTTTGCTCTCGTTCATACACAATTCGTCACTTCCGCAGGAAGTAGTCATAACTACGGTGGCCGACGGGGGCAGATGACTCGCAAACACACAAACAAGCCGCCGCCGCAAAAAATAAACACTGTGTAGTACAAATCACTGGATAAATACAAGCAGATAAATTACTTGATCATTATATTTGTTTCTTTCCGTCACTGGCTTTAGCTTCATCTGTATGAACTGAAAACTTTATGAAATGAAAAATACTTTATTTATCCCAGAAGGGAAATTCAATTGGTTATTATAAGATCCTCGAGTATTTTATTCTCATCTCAAAATCTTAATTTGCTCTGAAGCTGTCTAACGAGTTTATAGGCGGAAAATGTTCATCTCTTTGTTCGAAATGTTTTGAAGCAGAAGTTTAAAGTGCCATATGTACGTAGTTAGACTCTCCCAAGAGTAAATACATTAATTACAAAACATCCAGATCAGGTCAGTGTGGGGCAGCTGAAGGTCATATTTACTGAACCCTGATGGTCCTCAGGGCAGCGTGTTAAGACTTAAGAAAGCTTCAATGAACAGCTTTCGACAGCTTTTTCCCACCAGCTGAACGGCACACTTCATGAGGAGTAAATTTGGTGGAATGTCCCTTTAATACCCCAATCTCATAGAGCTGCTGACATATTTATTATGAATCCAAGTGTTCACCAGATTCTTCCAACTATTTCTGACTTTCTTGGAGGACCAGCACCTCCTGTCTCTTTGCCATACGGAGGTGCAGCTGCAGCCTGAGGGCGGTGCAGGGTGCTCTCTGCTCTCCATCTCCCCTGATGCCAAAGACACGGAGGTCAAAGGTGGAGGACAGGAAGTCAGCAGCCACACTGCCCACTGGACCTGGAAAGCTGCACAGAATTACTCTGAGGCAATACAACGCAGCGTAGCACTGAAAACACAAGAAGAGATCAAATGTCCTTGAGGTGCTGCTCGCTGCTCGCTGACCTCTGGCCTCCCCGAGGACGAGGAGACGGGAAAATAAAGCACAGCATCATTTCAGCGGTTTATTATCTTTATTTATGCTCTCACTCTCTCTCGCTCTCATTCTCCTGAAACAAATCACAATTAAACAACAGGTCTGAACTGATAGTTTTCTATACAGGTGATTTAAAATATTAAACTGAAAGTGTACAGCTATTACTACCAAATTTAAGGCAGAATTCCACACAGAAGTGGTCAAATTATTGGATATTGATATAATTTTGACCCATTATTAATTTCTCTAGTCAACTAAGAACCATCAATTAGACAATGGGAAAAGAACATCTACAACAAAAACCTGAATTCAACACTGACTCATGTTAGTAATATATTAGTAACATTTTACATGAATAAAATATACTATGTATTATACATTGTTAAGACTCTTTACCGTTTATTACATGTTGCCCTTCCCAGAAAAAAGGTATTATTGCATCTCTAGAAGTAACCATGGTCCTGCAGCAAGACAGTCGAGGCTGTTTCACCCAAACGCAGGTGTTTTTTCTTTAAAAAAAAATAAAATTAGCTTCAGATGCTAACACACCGTGGGTCATTTGGAGAGGAGATCACACGTCCATGGATGACACTTACTGACAAGATGACGAAGAGTACGCACGTGGAAAACACGGAGCTTTCTGTACAGTCACCCAAAAGTTCAGCATTTTGCAAATTTGAGTTTTTTTTTTTTCTTAAAAAGCCAAGGCCAAGCAGCCAGAGAACTATCCTGAACTACGCTGCCATGCTAATTTGAAAATGTAGTAATTTTCCAAAAAGCTGCCCCCCGAAAAATACTTTAATCAAAAGAAATAGTGGGAAAATACGATTGTTTTCTCTCTTTGCAAGACTTCTGATATGTCTCTTGTATCTGTGCGATATATATGAAGCAACTGCGAGCAAGAAACACCACGAACATGTTGATTTTACACTTTTGCTTTTGTACAAATTAAAAAAAAACGAAGATACAAAGTGGTAATTAGTGAGTTTTTAGCCTTTTTGTTACTGTCGACTAGAACCAGGCTTGCTGTTTCACTTCAGTCCATGTGCTAAGCTAAGCTAACCAGCTGCTGGCTTCAGGTTCATATTTCGCGTACAGATGTGACGTTGGTGTCTCCTCATCAAGTTCTCAGCAACAAAGCAAATACTGGTATTTCCCAGCAAGTCAAAGTGTGTCTTTAACTCGTCGGGGAAATGCTTCACCAGAAGAGACGTTTATATGTGAAACAGCAATGGAGCAGACTGTGGAGTGATATGAGTGGTCACTGTCACACAAACATTTACATTTACAGAATATATAAAACGTATATTTGTTACTTTCAAAAATCTACTAGATTTGCTATATAGCCAACTCTTTAGATACCAGTGAAATAGATTAGCAGTGGCAAACATCTACTCTTTCAGTTTTCTATAGTGATGTGCTAAATTCAACAGCGGCATTAAATGATCCACATAAAATCCACACATACGTGGTTTGCTGTGGCAGGTTTTTAAAAGGACAACTTGCAGTTGTTGTTGGAAAAATATAAAAACATACAAAATACAAATAAAGTTTAAAAATTGTTTAAAATTTTTACTGAATTGGCCCATTGACACAGTGGTTACTGTGGGTGTCATAGAATTCTGGTTTCCTTCTGCTGCTGGTATCACCAAACACGGATATACATAGAAAAAGAACACCGATGTGTCTCGCTTTCCTCTACAGTTTCTAACAAATGTTTTTTGTTTTACACAACTTGCACACAGACCTACATGACAAAAAACACAGTGTAGCACAGTACAAAGGTGGTTGAGTGTGGCACGGTATAGTGGCTTTTGTTTTTTTGATCTACTGATTGACAGCACAGTGGCTCCACCAGTATGTGTCATCACAAACTTGTCTCCCTGTCCAAGCTCTTCTCATGCCTCCGTCGCTTGTGTCGCTTTTCGCCTCTGGGACAACTGCACAGAAAAAAAAGAAGATTATACCAAACTAAACATAGAAACAGAAAAAACAGACCTGTGGATGTTCACTGCCATGCAGCCATGCAAGTCTGTCTCATGTGAATGCCCCAACAGCCCAGTGTCTTGTGTCATTCACCAGGAACCCTGCTGTACATTTAAATCTTGCACATTTTACAACATGCAAAGGCCACATTCGGCATTATAAAACACATCCTTGAATTAACATGCACATCCAGACCATGCTGTGTTGTCAATCCATCCATTTATAACTGATTTATTACTACATGTACCAAGTCCCGTCACCCAAATCGTGACATGCAGCACAGACCGACATCATTTTCAACGTGCAACAGTAAACACACAGAACGAGAACGTCCATGCTGAAAGGGACGACTGGGAACAGCTTACCTTTGGGATATCAGCTTCTGAGAGGTTAGGAAGGGGAGCTTAGGGGTGGGATGGAGCGAGAGAGGCAGGCAGGAGACACTATGTTAGTCTACTCAGTGGGAAGCCTGCGAGGGCAGGGCTGTTCTAAATAAACAGAATAGCTCTTGAGTTTCTTGGAAAAATGTAAAGTAAATGTACCATAATGTTTCAATAATAAACACCTGCCACTGCTGCTTTAACACCCTTTTGAACTAGAGTTTGAATCCTGCTGAAACACATTTAGGGATCTGGAATCAATACGTCAACTGTTGCCGTAGATACTGACGTGGACATCTGAGTGTTGTGAGTCTGACGCTCACCTTTTAGCGCTTGGTTCCTTTTTAGCGCTCTCAGCAGGGCTGACACTCTTCCAGACATTCCCGAAAGATCCTTTGGACATTTCATCAGTGATGTTCACTGTGGCTGGGTCACTCCTTCAGACACACATCACAGAGAGAAAGGCCTTATTTGACTGTCGTAGGAGAATGAGAATTATCCCTGATCTGTATCTGCCACAAGAACACTGACAAACTTGTGTTACTATACAGATGGAGTGAACCTAGCAAGGACTACCACAGTGAACACATGGTCCCGACAGTGAAGCAAAGAGATGGGAGTGTGACGGGATGGGGCTGCATGAGTGCAACAGGTGATGACATTTATAGGTGGCATGTGGTGATCCGAGTTTTTGTGTGTTTTGTGAAATGTATTTTAGTGTATTTGTGCTTGTTTGTTGCGGGGTGCAAGTGTGTTTCAGGCTTTGGATGGGAGAAGCCTCACTCGCTCTCCTCCGTACCTGAGGATGATTGGTAATCAGCGCTGGATAAAGCCTGCCTCCACCTGTGCTCCAGCGCCAGTGGATTATTCCTCCCTCGAGTGGCAACAGGCCAGCCAGCTGACTACGGAACTTTGTGAATTGAGAATCTAGCTTTGTTTTTTTTCTGCGTTTATGCCGGAGCCTCCCTGTCGGATTGACGCCTCCCGGACCCAGCTTTGGCAGCAGAACCCCAGCCTCAGTCGTCTTGCCTCCCGGTTCCCCCAGGAAACTTCCCCAGGATTTCCCTCACTCACTCGGCTACCCTCACTAGTTTTCTGGTGTCCTTTGGTTCCCAGTGGTTGTAAATAAATCCCTCTTTTCTTCACTCCAAAACCCTGTGTTGCATTTTTGGATCCTGCTCAGACTGAACCGTAACATGGCACCATGAATGCCTGTAGATATACCAAAATACTGGCTCACAGTATGACTCCTAGTCTGTAAAAGCTTCATAGAAGAAAATATTTTCAGCACGAACCTCCGGCACACTGACAAAATCACACAAATCATATGGTTTTCTAAAACGTGAAAGCCATAACTAGGCCGAGTATGTCGCCTGACTTGAATTTAATAGAACACCTGTGGGGTATTTCATACAACAAGGTGGAACAACACAACCCCTGCAGCAAAGAGCAGCTGAAAAAATAGCCTCTGAAGAATGGCAGAACATCTCTCCTAAAGTCTGTGCAACACTGCTGCACTCCTCCACGCTGAGGAGGATTCAGCATTTCTTCTGTATTTAGCCTCTCTGTTCTCCAGTAAATGCAGTTTGACTGAAGTTTCTATGAAATGAAATCTAGTGTCCTGTTGTAGATTTATTCTGCAGGTAGACTCTCCTACTTAGAATCTGACAAAACACCCCAGCATGCAGAATATGAATAAAAATGTAGATGACTTACTTGTAGTGTCCCTCTAGTGGCACCTGTACAATGCCCTCCTCCTCTGCAATAATACTGTGTTCCTCCTGAAGACAGAAAACAAAAGAGAATATCTGCTGCAGCTGCAGAGATGTAAAGACATCACTGGTCATCTAAGCTGTGGTCTATGACTGAACCTCTTGCGCAGCATCCTCCAATTTCTTCTTCTTCCACTCTGGCATGAGGTCATCCAGCCAGCTCAGGTCCCTCTTGGTGAAGATGAAGTCCAGCAGCTTACGAATGAATACCAGGGCCAAGACCTGGAGACACAAACAGGCTCATTCAAGCAAACGGATCTGTTAAGTAGAAAACATAAACAACACACTCAAGTTACCATCATGGGGAAAACGATGGCAGCCTTGGAGGTCTTGATGATCCACAGAAGGACCAGGCAGGTGAGCTGAACGATGGTGAAGAGGTGCACTTTCCTCAGCGGGACGTGGCGAAGGTAGATGAAGTCTGGCTGATGTTTGGCTGGCATGCCGAACAGCTTGAGACGGTCAAAGAACTGCGCAGGTACAAAGAGACAGACGTTCACTCTTTTCTTGATTGTTAATTCTAATAAAACACCAGCAGGTTGTGCTGAAGCTCACCTGAATGCCTCTGAGCGACGAGGCCCCCATGTACAGGAAGACTCCGTAGAGCACAGGCATGGGGATGAACTGGAAACAGACACACAGGTTTAGCACCATTTGTGTATGATTGTTTTTTAGTGTTTATGACTATTTTCTATCTTTGGTGTGACAGATATGTAGGACATGAGAAGAGGAACCTCCAACACAAGGCCACAGTGGTAACGTGAATGATGCTGTGCTGCCCTACGATGCCTAAATGTAGTCATTACACATGTGGTTGAAAATGAGTTAAAGCCAGAATCAGACTCTACGACACCGTATCTCACCATAAAAATAACATATCACAGGAATACTATTTGAAAAGCTATACAATTCACAAGAACTGAAAGACAGAGGTTAAAAAAAACAAACTGTGATGAGTGAGACTCCAGCTAGGAGCAAAAAATGTTGAAGTAAATCCTGTTAACCAGCTTCTTCCTCTTTCGTAGAATTTAAAATATTTGATCTTCAAAATTTACCTCAATATCTAAGCAACTGAGCTTGTTACCACACAAATACGACAAATAATGCTGTTGAAATGAAACGCTCTGAAAGCTAACCGGTCTGGCATGGCAGAGGAACTTCTAATAGATTTCATGTGATTCTATTCTTTGAATTACATCGTTTATTGTAGTTATTTCGCAAGCATTTTACTAAAGTAGCTCCAAATTAGCAGAAAAATGAAAAAAATGATAGATTTTTACGACTTATGTGTGTTTTTAAACTTCACTTGTTTAACTGCAGAAACTGTGTGGGTGAATTCAAGCCTCTCATCCACTGCACATCTTCAACACTTTGGTACTTTTGTAGGCTAAGCGTACAATTTCTATGTCACAAAACACTTTTTGAGCATATTTTGAGAGAATGGTGGCTGTCTGTGGTAAGAACTTGGGTCCAGCACAAAGTGGTGTAAAAGTTACAGGAGCGGCTCCAGTAGGATCCACCAGCTCTGACCACGAATTTAACTCAGAGCAACAAAACTATGACAAATAGAAGCTGCTGGACGTAACTACACGTCTATGAGCACATAGGGAATAGAACAATGGAGCCTAGATGGTAAATCTTATGTTGTAAATGGTGATGCTCAAGAGGAGAAGACTGCTGCTCCACGAGGACATCGAGAAAGGCAGAAAAATGGCGTTTGTTGTCGTCTGAGTTTAACCAATCAGCATTTGTCTTCTTCAAGTTTTAACCAGTCAGCATCGAGACCAGCAGTTTTTCAGAGGTACTCATCCTTCTGCCCCCAAAATGGCCTTAAATCTAAAAGGTTCCTGCAGTCAAACATGCACAAAGCTGCAAACATCCTGATGTGACTTTTGTTCATACATATAGATGATTCTGGATGCCTGGACATGATTTCTATAACCATCATTTATGTAGAGGTTTATACATACTGTATATCTTTAGCTAAGTCTTTAAGAAATACCTCATATTACTTTTTAATGAATAGGACTTTCTGGTGATATTCTAAGGACTACTAATAGCACATCAAAATCAAGCTTTGTAATATATTTCAATGCCTTTAACACAGCAGCATGTTTTCATTACATTCTCTCCAACGTTTGAATGCCGCTTTCTATAATTCTTGTGTCAGCGTGGGTGTTTATCTCCAACCTTTAACACAGAGGTCATGAAGACAGAGCAGCCCATCAGGGTAAAGATCATGAGGCCGGTGAAGCGCTGCTCTCGAATGCCCAGGAACTTGGGCTGCTCTCCGGGGGCTGAGCACTCCGACTCCAGCTTCAGGCTGTTCACGTGGGAGATGGAGAGGACGGTGGCTGCCACGAACCACGGGAGGCCCATCACTGAGCACACTCCCAGCATGACCCCCACCACAAACAGGTCCAGGTGGTATCCACAGCCTTTCTGCAGGGGCAGGGTTGAATTATGAACTGATGAGTTCTGACGGGGAGCTATTGTAACACTGCTTTGAGCCACTTTAGGATAAACAAAGGGTGAGGTCACCAACAAAACAGCAGTCCTGAAATTTGTAGGGATTTAATATTCTGCGAGTCAGGCTGAGACAAAGGAAGAGAACTTTCTACATCCACAACCAATTCTTCACATCACTGAGAGCAGATGAAAGAGTGAAATACCTTGAGTTTGTGCTCCTTCCTGTTGATGATGACAGCCGTGATCTGCTGGTCCATGAAGATGAGGATGGTGCAGAGCAGAGCGGGAATGAAGGTGATGATGGTGGTCCACCAGGGATTAGGCCCCACAGGGTTTATTACCCAGCCACGGTCATCCCTGGTTGGCTGCACGGAGTGGAAGAAGAGCGTGATGAGTTTTCAAACATTGTATGCCAGCTAATGCAGTGTTTGTGTATGTACGCAGGGTTCAACAAGCAGAACATCTTGGCAACAGAAACAGACAAAAAGGCTAACCAGGAGGAAGATCTATGATCCATGATGTGACTTTTAAAGACTTGAGCAAACAGAAAACAAATCATTCATGGGCTCTTCAAAACCAAACCACTGACAATATCCTGAAAGATTTACACAAATATTTCTTTAAAAAGGGTTTAAATGACTTCAGCAGAAGACTCCTGGACCATCAGTTTATGGAAAGTCAAACAAAGTGGGATAAAACTCTGAATAAGTCCCTGATCAGTGGAGAGCATCACAGCAAGTCACAGATTCTGAAGTCAAATGACTGCTGGTTTACACAACTGAATATCCAGAAGGAAGGATGTTGATGGAACGCAGCTGACTGTGATGAAGAAACCGGCTGTTTATCAGACTACTGGAGGACTGCCTGTGACAGGTAACTGCTTCACAAACCCAGTTCCTGCTAAACTTTTTTTATATTAATTCAACAACTTTAATATACTTTGAATATAGTGTCGTCTTTTTTATTAGATATTTGTATTTTTTGCTGTTAGTCATGATGGTTATTTTTCTATTTGTCCACATGGCACACATCATGAGAAAACTAACAAAAGTCTCCATTTAAAGATTTCTTTCTTTTTTTTAAAGAAGAAAGAATTGAGGTCCACTGTAACATCCTATGGCCTTCTGACCTCTGCTCACACATTTATCTAGTTTCCTTCGTATAAGCTACGTATGAATAACATGACTGTGATATCTACATAACATTCTTATTGTGTATTTCTGTTTCTATACTTTTGTGTATTTAAATATTCTTTGGTAAAAGACAACACATACTGATGTTATGTATAAAACAGATGCCGACAGCAGCTTTTCACATGTGGACTTACTTTGAACTTGCTGGGAACCTGTAGTTTAGGTGAGGGGATCCCCAAAGCATAATCCACCAGCACCATAGTGAGGATGGTGATGAAGACCGCAAAGTCACTGATGATGGAGCGCACCTGGAGAGAACAGAAACACACACTGTTCAGATAAAGTCCGTGTTACAGTTGAATAGTTTAGGTCAGAGTTTACACACCTAAAACATTACAGCTGTCGAGAGCCAGACAACAGATCTGAACATTGTCCTGTGCTGTATCTTCCCAGAGTTAACCCTCTGAACTGAATCAGTATTAAAATAATTGCTTCAGAGGGAGTCCAAAGGCAACTTTGGATTGTCGGGTTGTGATGACATGTTTTGTAAACTGTGCTATACAAATAAAATTGAATTGAATTGGATTGAATTGTAAATTTTTTGGGTCGTTACTTGTTCCTTTTTTTTTTAAATTTAGGAATTTTGACTTGACCTAATATAATATCTGTTTATATCAAAACTGGTAAAAACCCTTTCTAGATGCACTGACAAGTCGATAATAACTTGTCAGTGCATGTAACCTTTAACTGTTTTGTTAATTGTTTGTTATGCACTCATTTATTCACATCATTAGACAACAATATATTTTTACTTTTTGTAACTGGAACATTTTCCTGTTGGACCTTATTTATCTTATTCTTATTGTTGATTGCTTACTGCCTATGATTGATCGATTTTCTGTGAATATGTGTATTTAAATCCACTACACAAAAAAGTGAGCAGGACTCGTGTGTTGTACCACAGCCTTTTCTCTACGCCTCGATCTGTTTAGAGGCATGTAAATACTCCTCCTCCAGTCTGACAATGAACTCTCAATCATGGAGATGGAAATAATCACCTGAGAGTAGAACGAGCTGGTGTTTTGCTTGTTCTGCTTAATGATATTTCTTTACGAGTCCCTAAGGACCCCTCTGTCAGAATGCATTATCTGGGAGTGATCAGTGCAGTGTTCAGGTCTGACTTTTGACATCTCAGTGCTGTACAGCTGCAGTGAAATATTTATCACCACAAGGTGGCACTGGCATGTTATAGATGAGTGTGGCAGCATCACGCCACACATTACGCTCATAAATGTCATCTCAATGATAAGTCATAGAAATTGCACGCATAGAAAGGCCACGCAGACTGCAGGATTTCTGCTGTGTCCCGAAACAGCCAATAGATGGCAGCATAAACTAAACTGTCACATAGGGAGGCAAACTACTACAATTTCAGCCTAATTCACTCCCATTACAAAATAAGAAGCAGATAAAGGTGATAAAGCTAATTGAGTTTGAGAGCTGCCACACACTTGCAGATGGTGTCAAACAGGAATGTCTTCAGAAGAAACAAATGTTTTAAAAAGATGGTAAAAAGTAGGTGTGTGTACCCTGGTGGGGAAGTAGCGGCTGGTCTTGAACTCCTTGAGGAAAGCAGACATGAAGACGGTGGAGAAGAAGAGGACCACGCACCAGAAGAGGACATCAGGAATGTAGGGGCCGTGGGGGCCACAGGCGCTGCCCTCGAACTCTCCGTGCAACATCTCGCACTCCTACTGGCCCCGGAGGACATAATAATGATGATGATGATGATGATGGTGATGATAATAATCGGGGTGATGAGCATAAAGAGGACAGGAATAACCATGCCGACAAACACAGTGACAGTGGAGATGATGGCGATGATGGATGTCGGCGATGAATTAGTGAGGTCTGAACAGCATCACTCTGATACATTTACTACCGATTTTCTTCACCTTCTCTGTAAGACATGATTCATCCATTTGCATACAGTCCCAGTAGCCTCATGTGATCCTACCTCCAAACATTAGCCACAGTGCGTCTAATAAGCATGTGTAGGAGTGATGCAGCGTGCTGCCACCAGCGAGGCTGATTTGTGATACCTCATGCTGCATCTCCACACTCATTCTGCACAGCTAAATCCTGTGGAATCCTGCCCATGTTCTTAATCCACGCCTAGACTTATGACACTTCTTGATTAAGCTAAGTGTAGGCTGAGGGAGATACGACTGAGTGCCAGGGACTGCAAGAGATAACCACAACTGTCTAGGCATTTTGTTTGGGTATCAAGTTTGATTTTTGGGTGAGTAGTTTCTGCCTCTGCTTAGCCTTTCCTCTATTCAGGATCATACTATGACTGCTATATATATATATATACCCTTTTTGACACAAGTAGGCACAGATGTTTTACAAGGATTCCTTACCTTGACCTCCAGCATGGTCCAGTTGACCTCGGATGCTGTGATGTTTCTCTCCTCCCAGAAGCGCAGTGTTTCGTTGCTCGGGTCCCTGGGCTCCACACATGCACATCTAATGACGATATATTTAGTTAATTTTCTTAAGTAATTAGAACCAGATGAATATACTGATGTGTCTTTTATAGAATAAAGTAATTTAATATGCAGTTCTCAAACTCCCTCTCTGGTCTGACTTAACTCTTTAAAACTCATGTTTGTGAAGTGTTGCTGCCTTAAAATGGCTCAGAAGTTGCACTGCTGCTTTCTGTAGAATGTGCAGATTGATGAAGTCAGACAACTCAGGTCAAACACTGTACAATCACTTGCTGCTACACAATCGCAAGTGATAGTTTTGGAGTAATTTAACTTGTTGAAGCCGGGAGCTGATTCTGAAAACGACAATACAGAAAGTCTCACCCTTACAGGTAGACGGGATTGTTGTTTCAGGTTTGTCTGTGAAGATTCTCAGTCCTCCAGGTCATGGTTACTCTCGTGGATTAATCGTAGCAGCTGGACTTGCTTGAGTTCCTTGAAGACGTTTCACCTCTCATCCAAGTTAGAGTACACTAACGAACCCCACTGTGTCAGGGGGAGCACTAATGACTCACATAACGAGGGGGAGGAGCAACAAACCCCCAAATGAAACCGAAGCTCAGGTGTTAATGGCTCTTTCAGGATATCAGTATGTGGAACTCCCACCTAGTCAGTCAGAGCTGATGAAGCCTCTTAGATGAGAGGTGGAACGTCTTCAAGGAACTCAAGCAGGTCCAGTTGCTACGATTGATCCACGAGAATTGTTTTAAGTTTGTTATATATGAAACCCCACAGTCTTCATCTGTTGGGTTTTTAAACTGCCATTAGTACACTGCAGCTTCAAGATCAAAATGTGGAGTCATGATGCTGACTGCTTATTTCACTCATGATGTGTCTTCTGGCATATAACACACACCATGTGAACACGTCACCACGGTAGTGACTGGATTTTCACTGGAGGGGGACTTTAAATATTCAAGGTATCAAGTGAAAGGCTCACAAGAGATAAATACCGTAGTACACAAGCAACATTAATGACAGCACAGGCCCACTCTGAAGATTTAAAAAAAAAAAGCATGGATACACACACTGTATGCTATAAGGACTTGTTGGCCAAAGCAAATAAAACAGGGAGCAAACTGACCAACACTCTTAACTTCCACTGAATATGAATCTCACATCACCACTTGGATGCATCCAGTATTGGAGTTTAAGTCTGATACAGCGCTCTAGTTTTATTTATCTTTCTACATTTTCAAAATGTTGGTATTTTTTATATTTTAATATTTCAATTAATTAAAAATATGTGTTACTTTGTTTCCTTATGTTGTTATACCATTTACATTTCACTAAGAGAAAACATTGAACAGATATTTTAGTAATAAAATAAAAAAAAAAAAATCATTGGCAGCCGTATAAAATTACACACCCCTCCTGAACTGTGTAGTCACCAGCATGAAGTGACTTATTCTGCTGCCATTTTGCAAAACTAAATGTCAGCATTCCCTGCTGTCCACTGCATCAGAACAGAGAAAACCACAGAAGGAGCTATTGGTCGGACACAGCCGCCAGCCAGCTTATGTGGCAGGAAAAGGCACGGTCCTCCTGACACATACTCAACATGGGATTATTCACCATAAAGCATTACTGAAGAAGTGGACAGTTCATCTGCCGTACCGCCGTTGTTTCACCACCACCATCTGTTGTTTCATGACGCAGCAAAACACTTGAACACGTGCAGGCAAAGGAGCTGAGTAAAGCCCACTTTGCATGGGCTGCAACTACAATAACAGCACCAGTACAAAATGCTCAAAAGCCGACATTTTAAACAATCTTTGTTCTATTATCACAAACCACAAGCTGACATTTTGTCCAAACTACAGAGTGAAACTCAAAGATATTCATTAAATATCATGGAAACAAGAAAAACTGGCATGCCCCTGTGTTTCCATCTAAGCTGCAGGAATGTGAATTTCTCTTGAAGATGAATAAAGTATCTATCTATCTATCTATCTATCTATCTATCAATCAATCAATCAATCAATCAATCAATCAATCTATCTATCTATCTATCTATCTGTCTATCAATCTATCAATCTATCTATCTATCAATCTATCTATCCATCTGTCTATCTATCTATCTATAGTTTACTAGGAGAACCTGGGAATATCTGGTATTTATGCAACAATAATAGCACAACTCCAACTATTGCTGATTGTTAATGTCAAGTCATGTGTCAATTATCTAGTTAATTTGTCTAAAAAACTTAACAAAACAGATGCATCTTCTAACGACCAAAACAAAGTCCAACTCACGAGTACTGTGTGAGTTTCTGAAGGTTGTTGTGTTTATTGATGGGGTAGTGCACCCCGAGGTGAAGGAGCTTCTCCAGGGCCTCGTAGATGAAGATAATGCAGATCAGCGCAGCAAAAGCTTCCTCAGTGAAGCGTGTGATGTAACAGACGAGCGAGCTGGCGTCGGTGGCCACCAGCAGCAGACAGAAGAAGGCCGTCCACAGGCCGATACAGGCCCTCAGGGAGAGGTAGGAGAGGCCATATTCCCTGAGAGATGTCGAACACAGACACAAACACACGGGGCGTATGAAGCACAAAAACAAAATCGATCATCTAAATGGAATCATTCTGCCGGAACAAAGCACCAAGTTGTACTCAAGAACATAACCTACTTGCAGAACTTGAAAAGGATTTTCTCAAAGACAAGAACGGGCCCTGTGCTGCCCAGGATGGTGAGGGGCTGGCCGGCAAAAAGAGAGTAGGCTATTCCAGTCATAGAAGCCCCAAACAGGGACTCGATAGCACTCTGGAAACACAGAAAGAGCGTTCTGATTTATTCTGCCAAACATGTTGCTTTTTGAGAGCTTGTTTAATTTCCCTGTTAAATTCTAACAAGATAGCATGTCCTTACTCGTGCTGGAGGCTCTGTGAGGCTGTGCTATAGCTAAATGCTAACGCTAGCATGTGGCTAACATGCGGATGTTTAGCAGGTGTAATGTTAATCATGTTCACCACATTAGCTCAGAATGTTAGCATTTCTTAATGAGCATACCCTTGCTGTGACTTATGTTTGGCCACTGTGGCCACATTCAGTATTGCAACTTGAAAATCACGCAACACAAAGAGCATTTTCCCCACAACGAATCAGTAAGCAGCGTGCCACATGAGTAAATGCAAAACCATATCGGACAACTGAAAATGTTGACTGGATGATGATGCATGAAGAAAACTGTATTGTGGTTATTGTCTTGGGTCCGTGAATGGCAAAACCTCATGGCAGTCCATCCATGTGTTGACCTACTTTAATCTGAACCAACAGATCTGCACTGCTGTCACTAAAGCTATCCTGCTCGCATGGCTAAAAACAGCAGATAACTTTTTGCACTGGATCAGTTGTTACAGAAAACATTTATGAATATAAATGGGGCCACATCAGAAATTCAAAGCAGGCTGTTCCCATGATGCCAGGCTGAGTGTTTCTCTTCATTTAGAAACTACTTTCAAGGTGCCTTTGAGTAAGATGTGTTTGGTGCTTGTGTTCTAAGTCATGTCTTCCCTACATATACAATATTTAAATTTAAGTAAACATCTGACATTGATTGTTTCTTAACGGTTTGAAAAAAACTACTCATGAATTTAATGATCTTGACAGTACACTGACTTCACACACGACTGTTGGGAGCGAATAAAGAGGCTTCAGCGAGCGATAAAGACTTTGCTTCTTACCACACGTCCCTCTGTTGCCTCACCCAGTAGTCCCCCGAAGGTGATGACAGGCGACATGCAGGCGCAGTAGAGGAAGAGGAATGAGGCCAGACACTGGAGACTGAGAGCGTCTGTGTAGTCGGAAAGATAGTGAGGAGCCTTTCGCTTGATGTCCAACACCAACCCGCCAAACAACCTGTGGTGAAACAGGGATTTTACAATTGAGTTGCAAGGTAGAATCCACACATGGTTGTTTTCTGCAATGAAGATACTGTATGATGTGGTAACAGGTGCTGAAAGGTGGAACTCTGTAACCTTCAGAACCGAGGTGTTTCTACCTGTTTTCACTCTTCATGCTAAACTAAGCTAGACATCCATCATTTCCTATTCAATGGACAGATGTAAGAAGTACCTGCTGTATGGTGGCACTTCATTCTCTCCACTGCTGAACAAATGTTTAAGCAGTGTGGGGGGACTTTTGAGAAAAGTGGCTCATTGATTTCCTGTACATTTACAGTATTAATCATGTGAGGCACAAGACAAAATATTTTAAAAAGCGGCAAAGTGCCCCCACGCTGAGCCTGTTCCGTGTCAACTCGATCTATCTTTGCATGACTCTCTCCCACAGCGAGCGGGTTTTCACGCCGGGACAGTGGGGATACTAGCTGGAGGTGGTTGCTATGGCAACAGTGGGCGGGCCGATATGCTTATTTCAGTCTGAGTGGTAGGCAGCCATGCCATGTCCCAGAAGGGGGTGGTGTTGGAGGGGTGGGGGGTGGAGGGAGGGGAGCCAGAGAGTCGGTTTGATAGCCGAGGCCGGGCTCCCAGCCAAACTTCGCTGGGATAAGAGTCTGTACCGCAGCATACCGCAGCTCAGCAGCAACACATCACTCACTCCTCTGCTATTAAACCACCCAGATGAACACTAAACCCCTCTGTGCGCTGTGCTATCACTTCATTGTTTCAAGCTGGGGTTCAAGAATCCCCTTGTAGTCCAGGGATTATAGGCGATGACAACGTGATATTTTCTTCATGTTGAATCCCTTTCGTAGATCTCAGTGTCTGCCTTGTGAAGTCAGACTTTCTGTTTATGTCCAAGAACTATTATGAAAATGACATTACTGAGGGTGTAGAAATGCTTGTTACCAAAGTCATAGAAAAAGGAAATAACTCCAGAGACACCTGAGTGTTTATTAGAAACATGTTGTAGTATGACATTACTTTCAAGGGCAGACTATGAACAAAACAAAGCACGTTTTTGCTATTTAACATCCAATGATATATTACACTCGTACTGTAAGTAGCTGCTCAGTGACAGGCCCCTTCCTGTCTTTTTCTTTTATTGGATTTATGCTACGTTGCACAGTGCATTCAGTAGTCCCTCCATTTAGAGTTAAACTCCTGTCCTCTGATCTTTGTCATAATCATGCTTCAGTTCTGTTTCTAAATTATCTGAATGGTTACTTGCAACAAAAAATGTGAATGTCATAAAGGTCGTCAAAAACAGCCAATAAACCTGTAGCACAGAAAGTTACCCTGACAATAAGTCCTCATGTAGAAACTTTTTCTGGTTCCTATCCTCTTGATACCTTTCTTTCTTTAAATGTTAGAATATTTGAAGGAATAGAAATGATTTAAGGGTTTATTACAACATTGTATATGAATTAGATGGGACGTGATATGATGCTGACCAGACCAGAGAACTGCGTTAAGCCATAATATCGTCTCATTTGAGCTTTCTTGTTGTGAACAAGCATAATTAAATGGCCTGCTAATTCACCACCGAGAACTAACAATTAACTTTAGCGTCAGAAAAAGTTCCTTCTGAATTGTAGATTAGAATAATGAAGAAAGAAAGAAAAAAGCAGTAAGTACAACAAATGCAAATTTGTACTTAAATATAGCAGCTGAGTGCAATCAAAGCAAGGTGCATCATCTGTGAGTGAGTATACTCCCGTGGCTAAGGGTTTTTAAATAATAAAATATTGTTAAAGAAAGGGACTTCACATGGGATAGAGTCCTTGGTTTGCCCTAAACTCATAATGAATTAAAACCCAAACAAAGGGTCTTTGTGTTGAGTTGAAGAGTGAAGGAGGATAATGGGCAAACAGGGTAGTCTCTAAATTTACAGTTTGGGGACAGCGAGGCAGGGAACAGGCAACAGGAAGATGGGCACAGAGAAGAGCGTCGACAGCTCGAGGCTATACACAACAAAGCATGCTGTTTCTCTCCAGCACTTACTTCCCAGTACGCTGCAGCTCTGGGCCACCGTGCCCTCCGTGTTCCTCCGACTCTCCGAGGTCTGTCACTCCGTTGGGAACAGGGGGAATCTTCCGCTTTTCCTGTGTGGTTAAGATCACTGTCACTCAACTGTCGGCCAGCCATCATCACACGGACAAGAACAAGCCTCGGTGGGACTTAAATCTCCACTGACACTTGTAGACACCAAATGCTGATTCCAATGTACTTTCAAATGCCAAACGACTGATCCCTTATTCATGAATCCAGCATATTCACATATACACAGTTCAGCAGCAGAACAATCTAGCAGCGCAGCGGTACGTTATTAATTCACCACAGGGGCCTAATGACAAAACCTGAAACAACCACAGCGCTTTTTAAAAAATCTTTTGGTTAGATGACAAAATATCTTTTCCAACCAAGATGGCGGATCTCTTTTCAAAGAGGACCAAAAATAACTAATGGAGGAAAATAACTAATGTTTTGGAGAGGATTGAGAACAGAACCCTGGGGAGCTTCATCAAAGCACACAGTAGAACGCAGCTGAGATTAGAGGAGAACGCAGATGTTTAACTATTTCTCAGCAGGCAGTATGTGCAGCAGGGTCTCACAAGCTTTACACAAAAAATATATATTATTGATACGTAGAACAGCATCTCAAAAGTGGCAGCAATGGAGACGATTCTCAAAGAAATGTGATTGGTACAGTCCTTATTTACCTGAGAGGGCACATTTTTAGGAGGCTCTATTCTGATGGAGGGGTCCCACTCTCCAGGCGGTAACACCGTTACCTGGTCCAGAAACTCATCAATGCCTGCCACCAGGTCATTCCTGTCTTTGGCCTTGTAAGCAACATCATGGAAAATCTGTCAAGAGACATAACATATGATGTATTTTCTTGGATTCACAAGTGTAGCTTTGCATACCCACATATGAAGAGGTTCTTCAGGAAATCACTATTCCTGCCTTCAAACTAGAGGGAAACAAGATTAGCATAAAAGAGACTCTGCAGAGGGAATAAGGGGTATTTCTGCTTCCACTTTCCTGCAAATGCTACTTAAGGTATATTAGACTGACATTTAATTATGGGAAATTCTGATTCTTTCCCATAATCACAATTCAGAGATACAGTATGGCTCCAACGGTGAATAGCATTAGCTCACTGATGCACTGTGGGAAATCTCCTGTCACAATATTCATGTCATATTCTGCTGAACCCCAAAGGCTTGTTTGTTGTTGTTCCTGTTTTCTCGCTTTTTTAAGATAAGTCAGAGGTCAGGTTTAGTTGTAGAAAAGCAGCCCTGGAGCTGGTAGGTGGACTTTGACTGATTTACTGGATTCTCTATTCCCTAAGCCACCTTAATATAATATTATTGTTTTTATTAGCTACCCTAATATAACCACAGAAAGCCAACATAAATTGTGTCTGCAGTTTTTCCCTTAACTGGTAGTGTGTTGACCCATATAGAAACTGCTCATATTGATCTGAAGGAATCCAGATGTTGTAGTTAGTACTGGGAGCAAACACAAAAATAGTCCAGGATGAAAAAAAATTAAAAAGAGCCTTTTGTTTCCCCCCAGAAAATTGCAATACTAGAAATAATTCTGCCAAGAAGTAGTACGCAAACTTAAATATCTTAAGCTCATATGAACTAAGAATTATCAGAAATACCAAGTAAAAGATATTTGAACTAGTCATCCTAAAAGTTGCATGTTTGGGATAAATTTCTTTTTCTGGTTTTTTGGACTTTAATGGTAGGGACTGTGAAGGAAGACAGACATTAGGCTGCTAATGAAGGAGTCTTAAAATTAAACATTAACTAAAACATTACATCACAACATGGTATTATCTACAAGTTAGTGTTTTTAAAATGTAAAATCTCTTTCAATACAGATCAGTTGAAAAATTAACTTCTTTAAACACCTAAAAACCTTAAAATAAGACCTGAACTCTAAAAACACAATATGTCCAAGTTATTTCCATTAAGTTCTCACCTCATCAGTCATCAGTGTAGCAATAGACCGACCGATTTCATGATACTGTGGACCTTTTCCCAGAGGCCCAAGCAGGATGAAAAGAAACCTGTGCAAAACAAAGAACAACACGTTTTAGGTAAAAGCTCAATCCTTTTCTATGAAGCAAACAGGAGAATATAAGCTCATCTCTCTAGATTTGACACAGCATATAGAGAGAAGGAGACAAGCTGAGGGCTTTTCCAGCAGTTTGTGTATTTACCTGGTAGTGATGGGAACTTCAGCGAGGCCGTTGAGCAGCACAGCGGGAGCCAGACGGACGAAGGCCACCACAGGGCGGTCAAGGAATTCAAGCTCCCCTACCAGGACATTGGATGCCTCAGCGCCAGGAGGGATCTTCTTCATGAAGTGGAGGTCAATCTGTGAGAGGGAAGAAACAAGAACAAAAGATTAGTGTAAAGGTTTGGTTTTCTTTTGAAACTTAACAAAATATGAAAGTGGTTAATACAGTACATCATCAAAAGAAAAAATGTGAACTAATGACAGAATCTGACTCTGATAATCAAACCAAACACAACCAAGCTCTTCTCCAGTTCAAGTCCAGTCAGTTTCTCAGGGTAGGAGGCCTTGGTGACCACTTCACACGTAACCCAAGCTTGGTTAAACATACAGCACTAGTTATGTGTCCAGCTATCAGTGCCCGTATACAAACAGCAGAACCAGCGGTGGGTCCCGTTGCTCACCTTGCTGAAGTCGACAGCGCTGTTTTCTCGGCTGACGTCCTGTTTGCCCTCATTGTTGGCTGGCTGGGACTGAGGTGAAACAGTTTGGCCTGTCAGGCAGAGCAGGAAACCAGAATCAGTTTTCACTGGGCTTAGCCTAGTGCAGGACTGCTTTCCCACACATGGATAAAGACCTCAGTGAGCGACTACAGGGTACAGTTACACTCTGAAAAAATGTGGCACAGCAACAGGCGAAAAGGTTTAGCCTTAGTGACAAATGATAAAATACTGTAGCCCTTTTTCAGAGTGTACCTGGTGAGTAGGCTTAATATTTATAGATAGACTATTTAAATAGCATTACTAGAGCATTTGATGAATGCTCGGTGGTGAAGTCGTGACAGTGAGTTTAGATTTTAGTCTTTCCAAGTTGAGTTTAGTACAGAAGGTGCAATCTTGAACTGTCATGTCAGGTTCATCTGCATCATCCAACTAGTGCTTGTTTAAAGAGATTTCTTCATTTCATTTTAGTCAAAGATTGCTCCTTTTAAATGTCAAGCAGTTTCTTGTGACGTGAATGTACCAGTTGCAGCTGCTTGAAGCACTCCAAGGCAGCGCTGCAAATGTGGCCTGATCAAAATGTCAGCCGGCAGTGATTGTGTGATGTTACTAGCATTAAAGAAATAACTCAACACTTTAGCAGATGATCTAATTCAATGGCTTGCTGAGTGTTAGATACACAGATTGATACGACTCTCATGTCTGGAGGAAACAGGTAGCCAAGAGAAACCCACCAACCCTTAAACCTCTTCTATAATACACACACACACACACACACACACACACACACACACACACACACGCACACACACACACACACACGCACACGCACATGCACGTATAACATTATATTACATAACACAGAAACATGAGAGTGGAATCAGTCTTTTACTGTTACTGATGGCATGTAAGCATTTCCCCCAAAATGTTAAAGTATTTCTTTAAATAAGACGCTCAAAGGCAGCAAGAGAGAAGTTATGCTTGTGTTATTAAGTTACACCATGAATTTTTAGCAAGTAGCTACCACTAATATTAGTGACTGTTATTTAGAATCTGAGTTGCTGAATCATTAGAAGGGGAGAGTATAATCACAAAAACATGGATCTGCACATGCCCTGTTTGGCCATGCACGTCTGTGTGTTACTAATTCTGTTGGATGTCTATGATTTCATGGAAGTTTATCCCAGATATGACCAAAAAAAAACTTTTATATACTTAGAGTAAATTTCTGCACACATAAAAACATTTAGTTCTCTTTTAACTTCTCCAATTTTAAGTCTTGAAAATACAACAGTGAGAAGAGTTGGACTGTGAGAACTACATAAAGAGAAAGTTGCACAAATCTGGATTGCATGTAGCCCATTTTTAACCTCTCATGATGATACTCTCCACTCTACTGTGATCTCTTTATACTTCTACTACTACTATGTCTAGACTTAGGCATCAGCCTAAGTGCTCTGGTTGCCTGGGCAGGTTTCTTGCACACTGTCTTCCTGTGAGATGGGACAGTAGCCTTGTGCAACTGCCTGAAGGAGACTAAGACGTTTGTTCTTGGTTTCATCAAAGGGAGTGTGTGCAGTCATGCGGCCACAGCTCCTGGTGGAGCTCAAAGGTAAAGGAGGGATGGACAGGCATGACACGCAACGTACACACCGCCGAAATGCCCCATAGGAAAAGGTCTTTCTGGGTGAAGCGTTCTTTGGGAGTGTTTCTTGCAGCAAAACCTTGGGAGGTTTTATGGTTTGATAATAGGGGCCATTTACTGGGTAAGTGAAGGGCACACATGCACACACACATGCAAATACAGGAGACAAGAACAAACACAAACATGGAGAAACACAAACAAGAGGAGAACATGAGATATCAGACAGCAGCAAAACAGAAACTCACAGATGGATACACATTGGAAAATCATGCAAAGGATTATACATAAAAACATACTGTATATATTTACATACAACAACGTGTACAATCACCATAGAAAAACAGAGAATAATACAGAGTGTAGAAACGACAGCTGTGTGTGTCGGTGTATATGTTGCTCACCATTTTTGTCCATAGAATGAGGCTCTGACTGCTTCTTGCCAATATCAGCAAAGGAGCGTACGATAGGGATACGGTTGGCCAGTTTCTTGTGGTTTTGGTGGTGGTGCTGTTTAAGCAGGGCTTCACGGATCCTTCTCCTGGCATCCTGACCCACAGGGCCGGACACCTCATGCTGATCCAGGACCATGTCTGAGGAAGAGTACACATATACGTAACTCTTTAAACAGTTGATTTTAAATTCACAAAGGCCGTGCGGCCCTGTGTGGCAGCCAGTGATGCTAAGCTGATTATCCCAACAAAAAGCGACCCACTGCTGTTGATTTAATCGCACCAAACCAGGTTAAGTTCAACAGATCTCTGCGGCAGCACAGTTTTTCGCCACAATCAGATAAAAACATTCTCTTTGCTGACCTCAAAAACAAAGACACAGTTCCCTCAGGCCTTCTAAACAGGGTCAAATCATCTTTATACTTCTGGGGGAATTCCTGCTGCCAGACTGTGATTGTAGCCATGTTGACCTGGACTCTGCCCTGGGCAAAGCTTTGAAATAGTCCTTTTACGAATTAGGGTAGACAAGATAATGTACAAAGTTAGGGTATAAAAGGAGCAAAATAATAATAATAGAATGCATGGCAAAAAAATAAATAAATAAAAAAATTAACAGCCACAAATCTAATTTTAAACAGGCAGTGAACAGAATTTTAAAAGAACTGAGAGTTGATTCAGTTAGCAGGATGGTCCTAGATGACACTGAGAGGTCTGAATAGTTCATAGCAGAGCAGTAGATCATAGCTAGATTATGGCCCCTTTACCACTAAGGGTTTTGCAATTGTCTAATGCAGACATTAATCAAATTTAACAGTTATTTCACTCATTTGTGAAGACGGAGTTGTTTGGTACATCTAATCACTGACATTTTGTTCATCATGTAGATGCTGAATTTAAGAGGCCTCAGACGGGAACCTTGGGGAACTCCACTTTGCGTTTCCTCACACAAAAGTGTCATAAAGAGACTTATTTTTACTTTTAACCATCATTCAGCCCCTAGTGTTTACCTGCGATTTCCTCCAGCGAGTTGGCTCGCATATCCAGCATCACAGTGCCGTTCATGATGCAGCTGCGAAGCTCAAAAAGACTGTGTAGAGACAGAGTGGCTACGTAGGGTTTACTCCACCGCTCACCACCATCCTCAACGTCCTCCTCAAACTTTAGCCACCTGCAAACAATACAACAAAGAAACAGATTATTGAGGTGTTAGCAGAACATGTGCATTAAAGCCTGAAATGAAATGAACGTGTAGTAGTGCGAACATCCTGAGGCGCCTTAACAACAGCCTTATGACAAAAGGTTCCAGGCAAATAGAAACAGGATCAAAGTCTCAGGTGCAACAGAGAAGAAACTCCTCAGCTGGCCACGCCTAGCCCACGTGGCCGTCTGCAGAAGTGTACCTGGCCGTCTCTTTCCATTCCGCGTCCTCGCCCTCCCTGAGGCAGATTTCGTCCAGCTCAGTGAACAGGGCGTGGGGGATGTGCTCCTCATCGCCATCCTCTGTCCCCAACAGAAACTGCACCCTCTGAGCTGGTGTGTCTGCTGCAGCAAGGGGGACAGGCGGAGGACACGTGGAGACGGAGACAGGTAGAAGACAGGTAATAAAATTAACCACGTGTACAGTAGCAGGAACTCACATCTTCCTCCTTTTGTACGAATGTGTATCGAATGTGCATGTGTTTTGCACTACACTGTAAAGTTTGGTGGAGTTGATCTCCGACACCTACTGTGCGAAGGGGATTCTCGTCCATCGTCAGCCGTGGAGTCTCTCTCCTTGGACCTCTTCCTGTGTCTGTGTCCATGATGACGGTGACGTCGGTGTGACCTCCTGCCCAGAGGAACGTGAACCCCAATGTAGAGGGTGCGGTGACCTGAAGGCAGCAAGGATGAAACCTCATTAGACTTTTTAGTCTGTCCTTCAGTCTAAACTGCTCAAGAGTAAAATAAAAACCTTCCCACTTTTTCACACTATCCTCAGTTCACGTTTTCTTTTACCTAAATTTAATAGCTTTTTTATTTATGACCTTGAAATCTGAATTATGCTTCGTGCTTTAATTTCCTTGCTTCAGGTATAGAAGGTTATTCAAATATGGATTTTTTTAGTCTCTATTATTTTCTGATACTATTTAAAGCAGCACAGAGCTCATGATGAGTCCGAGGCTTTATTTATCAAGCTTCTAAAGCAGAAACTTGACAATTCTCTACAGGGGATCCATAACGAGGGGTACTGTCCAGGGGGGTATGTGACATTTATTCTGTAAATGCCGGTATGATTTAGATTTTTAGTTATTAAAGTCTTTATTACGTCCTGGGGCAACTAACACGTGAAATACAACTACAACAAAATCCATGTAAATATAGGAATAGGGAAAATTGTCCAAAGAAACCAAAGTTGAGCAGAGAGGTAGCTGGTAGTAGAGATGCATCAGTGTAAACGACTTTGTGAAGTGCTGTATAAGTAAAGTTTTATCATTATTATTGTTCTACATTAGGGCCCTGCTGTGCTTGTACTTTAATGAAGGCCTACTGTCCTCTTTGAGGACGCTGAAATTGATTTTTAAATTAGATTGCTCTCTATAACTGGAGTCATTTTCATTTTAAATCAATACAGGACAGATAATGAAAGTGGGATTCTGAAAGGATTTTGTACGATGTGGGCACAGAGGCCTTCCTGTGACATCAGTATGCGTGCACACATGGGTGTGCGTTCACAGGGTGAGTGTGAAGATAATTTGAGCTGACTTTCTCCTTTTTTTATTGTGACTGAGCAGCCTGGATGCTGCTTCCTTCCCGCCAGCCCTCAGCTCAGTGGCCGGACACAGACCAGACTATTGGACACTGTGTTCCCTCCATCTGCCTCCTGCACCAGATGAGAGTCCAGCATAATGTGACACCTAATGGATCTGTGGCAATCTGATGCTTGGGAGTTGGGAGCTGCGAAATGGGGGAAAACAAATTGGTTGTCTGTTTTATCTGCTATTTCTTCATTTCTTTTTTTTTTTTTTAACAGGAAGAAAGCACGATGAAAAAGAACCACTGTTAACAATACATGTCACAGTTTTCACAGCTTTTATAACCCCACCTAAACTACAGCCCATTCAATCAGTGTCAAGTTTTGTTATGCTGAACACACAACAACTGGCTTTATGAAAGCTATAATTTAATCAGTGGTGCCATTTCCACTTTACCTTTCCACCTCGCTTTACAATTTACTCTGAAAGACTACCAGATCCAGATGATAAAAGCTCTGAGTTGATCAAAATATTAGTTCTATGCGCTCAGCATTTAGACTTTTCAAGAAAGTGTTTGTCAGGCTTTTCTTTGTGCTCTGGATTCTTCTCAGGTAAAAACCAAGCCTCCCTAGTGTGTTGGTAGAGTTTAAAGCAGCTTGTGAGGGAGTCTACAGAGACATCTCCTTTTGCTTCTTCAGTTAAATAAGTCATTTAATTACAATTAATTCTTCTGCAAAGACATTAAACTGATCATCAGTCAAAGATAATGCAGTGAAAGACAGAGCTCTTTGTATAAAGATATAATCGAATATTTGTTGAAAGCAATGGTTTATTGCTGACATAAAGGTTGTTATATCTGTATGTTTTCTCAAATGCTTAGGGAGAATATCCCAAGCGATTGCCTTCAATTGTTTTCACTTGCTTGGATACACAACTAATCCCATCATAGCGCACTAATCAGATTTAAGCAGTTAACAGACATAACATGAACCGCATAAGAGCACAGGGACATCCCAGCAGTTCAGGAGAGACACTGACACAGTCTCCACCAACAGCAGGCCACAGCAGAGGTTAGAAAACTAACAAGATGTCAAAATATACAGAAGTGAACTAAAGTTTCCATGTAAAGACCGTGCATAATCACAGCTTGAGTTTCCCAGGAATCTTACAGCTCTTAATTTTCTATGATGGAATGACTGAAATGTTTCTTTGTCACAAAAAAAACATGGATTTTGATTCTTTGATGAATTTAATGCAGATCATCTGGAAACAGGGGCTGCAGGATGGATTGGTGGTTAGCACCGTCGCCTCGCAGCTAGAAGGTCGGTTTTTTTTTTTCAAAACCGTATTTGAAGTTTGGAGAATATCATCTCTGTCAGAGCGTGTACTACGGTGTACGCATTTACCCAGAACTAACTGCTCTTAGCATTGAGTAAATTATGTATGCCAGAAGCAGAGTAAAGAGGAAGGACTGTTTGTGCACATGCAGCAAACTCACAATATAAGGCACAAGCCAGCAGACAGCGACAACAAGGTAAGAAAAAAAACACAAGGAGAGCGCAGTAGAGCTTTAAAGTTCATGAGTCAAAATTCACAAGTGGAGGACTTTACAAAAATAGCTCTGCTCCTCCTCCAGGCCTCAACTACTGCTGATGTCATAGGATGTCTTTTCTTCTGTTGTCACGTCTCAGTGCATTCCACTCAGTCACTGAATCCACGCAATGGTGTGTGACGTGCTGAGTTTTTGTGGTTTTCATCCCAAAGACTGAGTGTGTGGTCATGTATGTATAGCTTAACACTGTTGCTGAGGACAGCAGTTCTGATTGGCTGGGGGGGTTGTGCAGTCCTTTCACACAACTGGCTCAAATTCTGATGCAGCAGTACATTTGCTGTTCTTAAATTACTGTAGCTGCAGTTTCCGGGCAACAACCTCTACTACTTGTTGGTGGTCTAAAGCCAAACTTATTCCATAGTGCTAAGACAAAACCTCCATTCAGAGATCATACAATACTTAGATCTCACTCTGGGAAGCGGTTGTGATAAAAAAACAAAACAAAAACAAATACCCTGACACGGATGTATTTCATGTGGTACTGTTGGGATAATTCAGCTATACATATTCAGAGTGGGAATCAGTGATCGAACAGAATAATGACTCAGAAAGCCCCACCCTGCAAGCTGACAGGATTTATTTTGTTTGGGTTGTTGTGCATGAAACCCCAGAAGTCTCCCTTTGTGTTTCTGAGACGATCATGACTACACTGTACTTCCATTGTGGAAACACTGAGCCATGGTGTTGACTGTTTATTTCACTGATGATGCGTCTGAAGAGCACTGTATGGACATGTTAACAATGTCATCACCAGATGTGTGATTGTATTTATTTGTAATTTCAAAACACAACTGTCAAAAGTCAGTATTTCTTAACAGCTACAGGAGGAAATGGTGCATTTGTTGGAGACTACTTTCAGTGGCGAATGAATCCATATTTAGTGAATATATCAATCGAGCTAATATTACAGTTGTCCTCAAATGTATTCAGATCCTTCCATTAAAGAAAAGGCTAAATTTACAATAGTCAAATAAATAGATACTGAAAAAAGTAATAATAAATAAAAATGTGCTAAATTATAATTTAGTGAACTAAGACACTGCTTTTGAATTGTGGTTGAAAGAATTTTTTTTTTTTAAAAACAAACAAAACTGTCCTGGATGAATTCAAGCACTTTGCTGATGAGCAGTGGTCCAGAATACCTGTCAACAGGTGCACAAGTCTGACTGAGAGCTGCAGAAACACCTGATGGCAGTGATTGGCTCAGAGGGCTGTTCAACAAAATATTAGTTTACGGGTCCCATCATGTTTGTTTGCTTGTTTTTTTGTTGTTGTTTGTTTTAAATATTTCTATTGAACCACAATTTAAAAGCAATGTCATGATTTTCATCCATCCATCATCTAAACACCGCTTAATCCTCACTGGGTTCGTGGGGGGCGGAGCCTATCCCAGCTGACTCAGGGTGAAGGCAGGTTCACCTGGACAGGTAACCAGTCTATCACAGGGCTACACTTAGAGATAGACAACCAAGCACACTCACATTCACACCTACGGACAATTTACAATCACCAATTAACCTCAGCATGTTTCTGGACTGTGGGAGGAAGCCGGAGAACCCGGAGAGAACCCACGCTGCACGGGGAGAACATGGAGACTCCACGCAGAAAGATCCCGGGTGTCCTCACCGGGACGCCAACTGGGGACCTTCTAGCTGTGAGGCAACAGTGCTACCAACTGCACCACCCTGCAGCCCCTGATTTTCTTTAGCTTTTTTATTTATTATTACTTTGTCAGTTTCCAACTTATTTCAGTGACAGCTGTTTGTTTCCTTCTTTAATGGGAGGGTGTGAATACATTGGAGGACGACTGCATCTTAAACAGACAGTACAGTATTAATGTGCTACATGTTGATTTGTCACAGGTAGGACAATTATAAAATAGATACATTATCACTAGACTCTTTAATTGCCCCACAACTGCTTCACATAATTTAAACTGCAACATGTAGATATAAACCAATTCAGGATTGAGACTTCAGGCAGGTTTGAGTTGGAGCAGTTTGGTGTGAAATACCTTCAGACAATTTCCTTCTCCTGCAGGCTGCTGACGCAGTGTTAGTGTTGCCACAGCAGCAGACAGAGAGACAGGAATTACAGAAACCATTTCCCAGGGACCAGGGTCCTTGAGATGAAAGTACCACCTGAACAGCACAGTGTCACAATCAAAGAGTGACATCTTTGCCGGCTCCCTCATCCCAAGTTGCCTGGCAACCAAATTCAGTGGATGCTGACGGGGGAATCAATTCAGTGACAGCTTACCTTTTGAATGTACTCATGGTTTCTATTATTTGAGCCTTAGGAACTGTGACATTTTCCATCTAAATGTAGTTTAGTTATGTCTTCTCTGGGTGCAACATTTTCTTTTTTACACTTCATTCATTCTAAATCTGTCATATTCAGTGTGTTCCTGAAGTTATTCTCTGAAAAGGTACTGCAACTTATTTAACTGTACTAAGTTCGGTTTGGCTCGTTTTGCATAATAACATCTACATTACCCAAAACGGCTTTTAAGTGAGAGTGTATTTTTCCACTTCAACTTTCCAAAATCTTGTTTTTTTCTCTTTCACTTTTATAACATGTCACTTATTCAAGTCTCTCTGAACATGAGAGCTGACAACACTGTTGATGCACTCATCTGCGACACCTTCAATTGTTACAGTGCAGTTAAAGCTTCAGTTTAGTTTTTAGTCTGAAACTAAGTGAGACTTGTTCCACACCACCTGCATCCTAATCTATTATCTGCATAATTCAGCCAAAGTATTTAATTTGAACTCTTTTCAGGTTATCCAGTTCAGCATTAAAGTCAAGGTTTAAACCTGATAATGACACAATTATTTTGGATTTTAGCAACATGGTGCTGGTCTTATCTCTGTAAACACATGTGTCCACTATTTGGTCTTTCAGATTCAATTATATTTTAGCCATATCATAAAACTAGTTGCAAATCCTTTTGGGTTAAACACAGAAAAACCCAGTGATAGCAGGAATAACTGTCATGAACTACTTTTTGAATGTGTTTTTAAATATATTTCTCTAATTCTTTATATTTGTCTGTGTACTTTAATATTCATTTTAAAATAAAACAAATGGGGAAAAAAATCTAGTTTATTTTTTTAAAGGAGAAACTGCTCAATAAACCTATTTCTTTGAACACCATTCTTGTCTATACAGGATGCTGCTTGTTGCAGAAATTGACATCTCTGTCTCTTTCATCATTTCTGAAATGCTGATGCAAACAGATGTTCAGAGAATAGAGCCTCCGTTGCTCTTTGATGCTTCAGGACTCACATCAAAACCTAATATCCATTTGTAATGATTTGAACAGGTGGACGGATTTCTGTGTTTCTTTAGAGGAGCACGCCACTGATTTTTGAACCTAAAGACGTCATCGTAAAGGCTTGGATGCTACAGGTTTTGTTTAGCTGGGGATGTGGACATTTCGAAGACATGCAATGCTGCTGAGCTGCATTAGGAAATAGGAAAGTTCCATATTTTTGGAGCCACGTAGCCCACATTTGGCAAAACATGAGGATATTTTTTAGCCGGAGGTGCATCAAGTAAATGTTGAGTATCACTTACCTTCTAGTTCTTCCTTCTCAAAGTTGGTGTTGAGCATGGAGCGCGTGCCCCCACGGTCCACCACTGCCTCCTCATCAGTTCTCTACAGGAGACACGTGCAGACAAGAAGTCACACGAATTGTTTTCATGTAGATTTATAGCCATGGCACTCAAAGTAACAGTATAGAGGTTGACATGACCACTTAATCAGAGTTAATGTTTAATGTAAGTACATGCAGATGACACTTATTTACAGCGCATGTCCATCAACAGTAAGAAGCTCTCTGTCCTTACTGAAGCAAATTTTCCCCTAAATACTTCAAGTTGTTGCATAAGAGCACGCTAAACACTCCGCCGCCCTCCCACCCTTTCTTTCTGCCTCGTGAGAGGCCGTGTCCTGAAATACATACACACTAAAAACCCTCAGCATTATAAGGCTAACTTCCAGCGACTGTCACCATGGCAACAAAAGGCAGCCAATCGCAATTTGGAAAAGCCACACTCATCTTCTGAGTGCCAGATTACACTGTTTTTGAGTCATGGTTTTAACAAGAACGCTTCATTGTGCATAAGCTGTAACTCATGTAAACGCTCCGCCACACACACGCGAGACGAGTTTCTCGGGGACTGGGAGCAACTGCACGCGCTCAGTGGGAAGAGAAGGAACAAGGACTGGTGTTAATGGATGCAGCACAGTGCTTTTCTGGTTATTCCCTGCTATAAATAGCTCTGACCTTGAAGAGAAAAAAAAAGGACTGGTCTTTGAATGCTTTTTAATATTCAGGAGAAACACTGGCTTGTTATTCATGGTGTTTGCAATTGTTTTGAACAGCTGCCTGCAGGCCATAACAACTTCGATTGGACCCTCCACTTTGCGATCAACTTTTATCAGCTCTAAATATGTGCGACTTCAAAAACAACCCTTGCTGGGTTCAGTAGTAACATGAGGTGGCACGTATCCGTTCATTATCATTTAAGCAAGTAAGCAATGATATACAGTTTCCTGCAGCTGTTTCTATCAAATCAAAACCTTCCTGATCAGGGAGCCGCATGCCACTTACTCCAGGCAAAAAACATCAGAACAATAAGTTGTCATAGTGACGCCTCCTCCATCACCTACTCCCTTTCTCATGTACCTCTGACTCTGTCCAGTCGGTGTGTGTGTGTTTGTTGTGAGTCCAGTGTTTTTTGCTTAGCGCTTGTGTTATGTGGACATCCTCTGTGAATTTGCTGCAGGTCGTCTGACTGTATATTGATCCTGCTGTATAGGTCATTAGTGTTCATTAGCAGCAACACTGATGCTTGCCTTGTTTTTCCCACATAAGTCATTGACATTTCAAGGGGAATAGCACACTTCTTACACTATATTCAAGTTTCTAGTTGCTCTGTTGATTCAAAATATGCATACAAAATAAAATCAAGAAATAAATTACGATGTCAGATTATAAACTAAGACATCCAACAGTGTGTAAAGTGGTTCAAATTAGCTCAGCTGTAGCATCAGTGATATGCTGTAATGACACCTTCTGCATAATGAGTGTGGTACTTTAAAGATTGAGTATGATATTCTGACCCAATACACTTTTTTTTGGGTCAAATTTAGTATTTCCACACAGTCTGCTGTTGCTCAGTTCTGCCTGTTCACTAAAACTAATTTGATGGCTCTGCAAATGGGAAGAAAGTGACTGAGACTGATCCACACGACACTATTCCAGCTAGTCACATGTATGCTCAGAAGAGTGCCAATGAGTCTGGAGGAGAAGGAGGCGGTGGGAGCATCAGGGACAGCAGATCTTGCACATGCTACTGTATATAAATGAACTAACGAGCTAAATATCAACACTCTGTAAGACGATTTCCACACTCCCCCTTTAGAGCCCTTCTTCTAACCAAAATATACTTTATTTGAACAATGTCCAAGCAGTTTTTCATCCATTTGCTGAAGAAAGAAAGAAATTCTAACAAGTTAAATGCATTTTCTTGTGGGGAAAACTCTGGCAGACACAATTAATTATTCAAAGCAGAGTAATCTAAAATTGCTTAATGCCTGGCTGGAGGTAATCTTTTAGTATATTCTGATGCTGTTGACTTTACTTTCACTAAAGTAACATGTAAACTTTAACTTGTGTTTCCAGACTATGGGACTGTCACTATTCCTAAAGAAACAGATCCAAACACTGGTGCCCCTACTTTTCCATGTCATTTTTCTCAGGTATTTTCTTATCTTTTCTTTTCTACTGTATTATTGTTCTTTTTTAAAATGTTCTCCTTTCATCATGCACATGTAGTGATGTGTTTTGGAGACTTAAATACTACATAAATGTTCTTATATACCATATCTACAGTATAAAGCAGTTGTAGGCAGTCAGGGCCAGCAAGGCCTTCTCTGCTGGCCTAAACTTCATCAGAATCACTGACTTACGTTGTAATATTTTCCCATTAATCTTTTAACTTTACTCCCAACAGTCTATTCTCTTTATTCAATGGCGTGTCTCTGGGCTGTGGTGCTTCCAGCAGTGGATGTTTATATTAGAGTGCTTTTTAATTTTTTTATCCAATCATATTTCAACCATCATGTGTTTCCAGGGTCACAGAAATCTGCCCTGAGGGCCCTGTAGCTTAAAATGCATTGTCATGAAACTGTTGCTTTAACCAATCAGATTGAGAGTTGGTGGTCCCAGTTAGCTGGCCTACGATGACGCCAGCACTTCCATGTCCTCTGATTGGATGGTCAGAGAGCTTAGCCAAAGCTAGCGGTTCCTGTCTGTAGCGACCTGCACAAGCTAAAAGTTGATGGTGAATTTCGTATTAATAGCTGGGTCTCTTTTTGAGTTAAACAAGCAGAAATTCTCAGCCCTAACGTGAACGAACACTTATGGCAGAAACACGACTGGACAGACCCGACTTTCAGAATCAGCCTCCATGGAGCTAGAACAGGACTTACTTTTGGAACTGAAAGGAGGATTTAGGATTTATATATATATATATATTTGTTATTTTATTGGGTTAATATTGATGCTCCTGCTCGGTATGATGCATGTGGCGCTGCTGTGGCTGCAGTGAAAGGAGACTTGTTGAACTGTTTTAATTGGGTTTCTTGTTTTAGTAACGACATCCATTCCCGCTACATGAGATAGTTGTCTGCGAGGCAACGTCCTGTTATGCTGTCTTTCTGTATAATATTGCTGGTTTCTATAGCCATGGCATCATAATGATGGTATTAAGGCATGGTTTGATTCAGGCCACTGGTATTAACGGTATATGTCCCCAGAGACGACACCTTGACATTTATATATGAACAGTGGCTGATACACATCGGACGTTTTTCTACTCACGAGAAGCTGCAGAAACTAAACTTATGTAAAATGTGTAATGTGAATGTGAATCTAGAAAAGCCCATACAAACTTTTTTCTTTATTGAACAATTTTCCTGTATCTTTAAGCCCCAAATGTCCTTCAATGCACTTCGCATGACTGAGAAATATAAAAACAGTGGATCAGAGTACATCATGGACGAGATGCAACAACATTCAGACAGCAATACGGAGAAATCCATCTCCCATTGTCCACACAGCATGAAGGACCTGATGCTTGCTGTGGTCTCAGTTTAAGGACACATGCTGTCAGCCTAAATGCTCTGATTTTGCACACTTTGCATTATTGGAGTTAAATTTAAGTATCAAATAGCCTGAATATACAAACGACTTGAAGGTGTGGTCACATGAGATTTCCGGTCAACAAAATGTATAATCTTGATATGATTGGATGGTACAGCATTAGAGGTTATATTCAAACCTTTTCTCAACTGTGCCTTGAAAAGAACAAGTGTGTGAAAGGCATGGACAATAAAATAAACTGACGTATCACCTCACAGCCTTTCTAGCCAGTCAGGAGGATGTGAATCGCCTTTTCCAAACTCTTTGCTCAAACTGATTAATTTTAAATACAGTTCACTAACCCATCTGCAAAAGTTTTGCTTCTCAGGAACAAAAGACCACACTGTACTGTAAATAACTACATACACAATAATATAGGAGGCTTATGGTACATTGTGACAAGTTACCGGTGATTAATGCTGCACATTGATCTCTGACTATTTTCAGTGTCTCTATAGAAAGATAAAAACCTAAAACCTTACAATGGTGTACATCTGTTATGCTGGAATTATTGGAGGAAATGTACCCTATAAACTCTCCAATATGTCCAACAGTGGGCCTCGTGGCAAGGAAGACAAATTGTTTCTGTATAGACAGCTGGCTTGAAGACTATATTTGGTATCAATGGAGCGAGCAGCATTGGTTCTTCCAGATCTGGGCAGTGGCCAGATCGGCTCTTTGAGTCTAATTATGTCAGCTTTGAACAAAAGGCCATAATGATCATTTTATGAGCATATGTTGATGTTCGAACTCTGAGTCGATCTGTGTTTCTACAGACATTTTGGATAATCTTGTTTGAGCCTCATCATGACACAAGGGTTGGGATGGTATCCTTCCTACCCCTCAAAATATGAAAATGTGTTTGGGCTTTCTGGGACACATGGTTGGAAGATCGGCATCCTGCACCATCTGGGTTACAGCTGTGATCCAGTCCAGCTATCTCGGTCTCAGGGGCAGTCTACAGGGGTACCAGGGCTGTTGCTATAAGCCATCAAGTTCTTGTACAACCACAGTGAGAGCTGTGTTCATATTCTTATTATATGGTACAACATGTGTTCAGTGGGTGGTGGACTCGCCAAGGTTGTCTCCCATCCTGTTTGTGATATTGATATTAACTGATGGGATACTCACCTGTAGCACTGAACCGTGGGTAGTCACCAAAAGACTGAATAACTGATCCTTAGGGCGGCTAGACTCAGTCTTAGAGACAGAATGAGTAGCGTGGACATCTGGAGCAAGCTTGGAGTAGAACTGCTGCTCTTTTGCATTGAAAGAAACAAGGTAAAGTTGGTCGTTTTCAATAGATTTTCTGAGCATGACCAACTGTGAGTATACTGAGAACTGGCTGGAGGGGGTTACATACCTCATCTGGCCTGGAAATGCCTTGAACCATAAGGAACTGGAAAACATAACTGAGAAGAGGGGGCATCTGGAATGTCCTACTTAGCATGCTGCCACTGTCACCCTACGCTGGATAAAGTGAAGTAAATGAACTGATAGATCCTGTACTCTCAGTCCTGAACTTCGTCCCAGTGGAGTGAAGTTGGGCTCCTGACCTGTTGTTGCCTCGCCAGCCTCACAGTCCTGTTCCATTGCTATTGTCTATTTGTTTATGCATTTGTTTGATTTTCTGTCACTCTCTACCCTGTCACTGTTTCTTTGCTGTGTTTTCAATCTGGAAAACCACAAAAAAAATCTAGAGATTAGGGAAAAGCACTGTTCGTACAACACTTTCACTCTCTCTCTCACACACACACACACACACACACACACACACACACACACACACACACACACACGGACAACCATGTGAGAAACACGCCAGTGCTTCAAAGAGTTGCGTGGACAGATGCTGAGAGCTGGCATATTGGGCTTACTGTAGATATTAACAGAGCGAGTGCACTTACTCACACAGCCATCATCAAGTCCCTGTACACACAGACTTCTCTAGATCTCGCCTGGCAGATGGTTAATGGCAATCTGAAACACTGACATTTTCTCAATATGGTAGTTTTGTCATTGTCCATGCCTCGGCATTCCAAGTCGCTCCGATCCAACCACTGTGAGACCAATCACAGTCAGACCTAAATGAACGATAGGCAAACTACTGCACTAACGGATGTATTTCTTGTGTTTGTTGCCCTCATGGTAGTCAAGGCAGCAGAGATGTGAGTGTTTGTGACAGGCCTCAGAAAGAAGCAGAGGGTTGACTCAGGGCTGGCACTGCTGGTCAGCCCCGCAGGTGATCAGGGAAGCTCTAGTAACACATCGTATCCTCCTGTCCACCACCCATGAGAATGCCGCACATCTAAATAGCACAAGAACGCAATTTTAAGCCCCAGGCATGAGTAGAAAGCTGTCAGCAACAGGGTGAGGATTTTAAAACCACTGTGTGTAATCTCTTTTGTCAGTCTAATACGTGACTAACACAAACTTTGATCTTGATGCTCAAGTCCCTTGTGTCTTACATCTGGCCTGCATTAGCGCTTACATGACAGGCAGACTGTAACACCTTTACCTGAGTTTCAGTCACCAAGTGAAACGAAACAATACAGCTATATTCACAACAAGAAAACGTAAGCTGTTTACTTTGTGGTCGATTAATTCATCGCATTGCAGTGATTCAATAATTTCAACCAGGCGGGTGACATTTATGGTCACCAGTTCCACTGAATTCCTGAAAAACAATCTTCATTTGTTACCTTCATCTTGGCCATGAAAAATAAGAAATCACAACACCTAGGTAACCCTGATACATCGGGTAGCTATGGGCCGATACTTGCCTGTCACAGATAAATTGGTATTAGCATATATTTTGTTCCATATTTTTACACAATATTATACAGAAAAACCAACCCAGGATGTAGATATAATACCAATATCTGATATTCTTTACTCTGTATTAAAGTAGTATCTACTCTGCTAGATATTGCACATCACTGCAATGAGGAAGAATTGCTAACTTTTTTATTTTCCACCATGGTTATGTTTAGATAGTCACAGTTCTTATTTATAATCTGTTTAAATACAGAAATAGTCCACAGAAACACGCACATGACATTTTGATTATTAAAAACCTCCATCTTTCCTTAACTTTAAATAAATTCACTCCTTTATCTCTGTCTGTTTTACTTGTTTACGCGTAACAATGCTTTGTCTATCTGATAGATATTTAAGTCTGATGCTGCGTTTCTCTCTGTCCCGTCCCAAACAAAGCTCTGCCCTCCTCACTATGACAGATGAGCCAGAATCTCCTGCCTACAGGTCCCTGTTTCTATTTATAGACGCCGGTTTCTCTGCCTCGTGGTGCTGACCCCAGACCAGCCCAGAGAATCGCATCCCGGCTCACTCAATCTGGGTTGAGATTAATCTGCAAGCCTTTACGGCAGGATAAAACCTTGTCTCTGACCATGGGATCAGTGATAGAGGGCCCTGCACGCTGGGGAGAATTAAATCAGCCGTTTCTCGGTTGGTGTGTTGGTTGGTGATGGAGGCTTCGGGGGGGAACGGGAGCCGAGAGCACGTGACCAAGACTCCAGGGGAGTCGGGATGGGAGCGGTGGAGGAGGGGTAGGCATGTGACCGGCATGATGAACAGATGCGCTCGAATGTAACATGAATGTATATTGTGTCTTTATTTGTTCACCTTGAAACGTTTGTTCCTCCTTCTATCTCAGGGTATTTAATTGGATTCTCCGTGTACATAGATTTAGACATACCAGTTGTTTGTACAGAACATAGCATGCAGAGCTTCACACAAAGCCGAGCGTGCACACAAGGACACACATCATGTATAGGCTCGCTGATGTACACAGTGGCGTGATGGGGAGTCGCAGTGTGGATGAATGAGCAACACACAGCAGAAACGGAGCGAAAGGCTTCAGGCCTGGACGCGAACCGAGGAACAGAGGATGTTCTGATGTCACACAGTGTTAATTGTGAGTGTGTGTGTTCATGTGTGTGTTCATGTGTTGGTAAGCAGAGCATCATGACCTTCAGCAGAGAGCTTTGACATTGGGCTTCGTCTGGTTCTGATTTAATGTACATTCTACTGATGTGTGCAGAAGAGTTTCAAAGTCAATAACGTGCACTGATCCTCCTGAGCTGGACTATCTATATCTGCAGTATGTAGGTAAGTATGTTATGCCAAGAATGAGGTGGAAGTTGTGACTTATGTTTCTACACAGGAGACGGATCACAAAAAAGACCAGGTTCTTCTTCTTATAAATTAAAGGTTTATTTGATGTTTAGTGTTCCCAGTGTGCTAATATTGCCGTACTTTGTGTTGTATGACCAGCAGCATGTGGAAGCTAATGTTTAAACCTGATACTGTGGAATGTTTTGTTTTTTTAAGTTATTTTTTTGTGCCTTTATTTGACAGCAGTGAGAGAGAGAGAGAGAGAGAGAGACAGGAAAGTGGGGGAGAAGAATGGGGGGAGGACGTGTGGGAAAGGGCCATGAGCGGGATTCGAACCCATGACCTCCACATGAGGCCTGTAGCCCTGCACAGGGGACACCAGCTCCACCAGGTGAGCTGTAGCGGCGCCCACACTGTGGAATGGTTTTAATGAGCAAATTTGATGACTACATTGTTCTCACTGTGATATTTAAATAATTGACTCATTTCCACCCGTCAAATAAAAATGTTATAATATTAGATACTGGTGCAGCATAACACAAGTATTATGAGTTTAAACCTTAAATCTCAGCTAATCTGCTGCATCAGGACCATGTGGGTGTGGCCTGATCAGATCTGACTGATGGTGATCAAAGAAAATCACCAGCTATCATCAGATTTTGATCCAAATGTTGTTAAATCCCGACTGGAGCACTGACTGGCGCCACTTTAAACAAGTAAGAAAAGCACAGAGAAAAAGAAACACCTGCAAAGTGAAGTGTTTGTATAAAACAATATCACTTATAGTATGATTGATTTTTAGCTTTCTCTCAGGCTCGAACAAATCTTCCTCACTATCTTGTTCATATGTGCATTAAAAAAAATGTGGATTTAGCTGCAAATGCCAACCACAACCTGTACAAAAACAGGAACGCACCACTGCATATGTGAAAAACAGCTACATAAATCCAACCAGCAGACAGTATGTGCCTAGCAACAGCCTGAATACGGCCATTTGTGACACTTTTATTGAGGACACCTTGACCTAAAAACGATTCACACGACACAGTACAGCAAAATGACCTCTGAAAACCTGGAGTCCTAAAATCCCTCACTGCTGGTAAAGATAAAGATAAACTTTATTGATCCCACAGTGGGGAAAGTTCCCTGTTACAACAGCTCCAAACAAAGTGTACAGTCAGTGCAGAAATAATTTAATTTATAATAGCCGTGTTCCACTCTTAAGAACAGATGTCCATGTAAATAGTGGAACTACAAGAACATGTTCCCAAGCAGTTGGAGCCATGGACAGGTTTCACATAGGCTGATGTATTATTTGTGTTTACTAAACTGCGCCTGCCTACTACGCTGATCTAACCTGCACACTACCAATTGCGCTTAAAAGCTGGCAGCTGCTGCCAAGATTTATTGTACACACAGTAAACACAAAGGAGGTCATCCTTAACCCATTCATCCGCTGGCTGTGAATGCCTGAATCCACACCACAGACTGTGCGGTTTGTGTCCCAACCACTTTTACTAATGAGTTTGATTTCTGACATTGTTGAAGACCAAGTGATTGACCCAGAAGGAACAACAAAGCCACAGTGTCAGTATGACTGGGCAGCCATCTCACATGCTTTTGTGAA